AAGTCATACACCCTAGCTTGCTCTTATATTCTGTTATCTCCTGTTTTTAGTTGTGTTAACTCTGTTCTAATCTAAGTCTTCGAATTCGCCTTCTGGAATCATTTCCTTAACTTTACTTTCTTTTAGACTTTTACTACGATCACTGTGGACGATATCTGGTACTTGTACCACTTTTATTACTTGAAAGATGATATTGGGACTATTTGTATACTTGCTTTTGGTCCTGATTGTAGTGTGTGGTTTTCCACCAATCAAGTTTTTGGCGCCGTTACCGGGGAGAGTTAGTTAAAAGTTTTCTTTTTAGTGAAGTAAAAGATTTGATTTTTCTCGTCCTGTTTTTAATCCGTTTTTAAAAGTGGTGTATGTTACGGAGACATCGTGGGGAAACTTTTGAATTGGATCCCGATATTGAGAGAACGTTTCGCCAAAGAAGGAGAGCTCAAAGTCCATTTTTTGCTCTACTCTCTCCCAACATGGAGTTACCTCCCCCAATCATCCCTGAGATTCGACATTTAGAAAACCAACCGCCTGCCTTTGGGACAATACCACCTTTTCCGAATTTCCAGCAAGAACACCACCAACATAATAATCATAATGAGGACACAAAATCAGAAAATAATGAACAACCAAGAGAGCAAACTCCGAACATCATTAATTTGGCAAATTCCAAAAATGGACGGATCATGGACTATGCCATTCTGGATTTTGAGCAATTAAATTTCGGGATAGTTAGGCCGCATATGACCGCACTTTATTTTGAACTAAAACCGATTATGTTTCACATGTTGCAAACAAACGAACAATTTGCCAGATTACCTTCGGAGGACCCACACTTACATTTGAAATCCTTTATGGAAATCACTGATGCTTTCCTGATCCCGGGAGTGTCTAATGACACTCTAAGACTCACTTTATTCCCATTTTCTCTGAGGGATCGGGCAAAGGCACGGTTCAATTCTTTAACTCCGGGGTCTGTGCCTTCATGGAGTAATATGGCGGAAACGTTTTTGCGAAAATATTTCCCACCAACCAAGAACGCTAAGTCCAGGAATGAAATTTGCCCTTTTAAACAAATAGACGATGAAGTTGTTCCTGACACTTGGGAAAGGTTGAAAGAGCTGTTAAGGAGATGCCCTCACCATGGCATCCCGTATTGTATTCAACTCAAGACATTTTACAATGGGTTAAATCCCATGGCAAAACAAATGCTCGATGCGACTGCGGGCGGAGCCTTTACAGCTATGACCTACAATGGAGGATATGAGATCCTAGAGAAAATTTCTGCTAATAATGGACATTGGGCTGATCCACGTGCTCAACCGCAAAAGAAGACAGCAGGAATACATGATGTTGATGCATATACTGCATTAACAGCACAATTTTTTCTTGGAATAGTCCAAGTTTGAACCCCTAGTCCAAGTTTTTCATGGAATAGTCCAAGTTTGAACCCCTAGTCCATAAGCAACAAGGAAACCCTAATTTTCAACAACATCAACATGCAAGCAGTTCTAATTCTCATAATCACCATCACCAGAATTTTCAAAGTAATGTACCACCTTTTCAGACCAAACCACCTCCACAATCCGATTCATCATCTTCCTTGGAAACTATGATAAAAGAACTGGTGGCTCAGTCCCAAGCACAGCAGCAAAATGATGACTCAAAATCAATCTTTGTTCAATCAACAAAGTGCTGCCATTAGAAACATGGAAACACAAGTTACCCAACTTGCTCTTAATCAGAATAGTAGAGCCCTTGGTACTTTTCCTAGTAACACCGAAGTCCCGAGAGATCTAGGAAAAGAGCATGTAAAAGTAGTGACTCTGAGAAGTGGTAAGGAATTAACTGAGACCATACCACCAGAAAGTGAACAGGTTTTGTCTAAACCTGAGATTATACTCATGGTCCCTGTTACTGAAAGTCCACCAAAACCTTTGGATAACCCACCTCCTGAGACCACCACCTTTGTTCCTCCTAAGTCGGACTCTCCTTTGTTATTCCCTGAAGAAGTTGCTAGGAAAAAGCCAATTGAGGATGAGGTTATAACAAGTCCAAAAACCAAAGTTGTAATCCCATCTGAACCTCAAGAAAGTAAGACCAAGACTCTAGGCACTCCGGACCCATCTTGCTCAACACAACCTAACAAAGCCATCATAAAGCCAATTCCTCTTTATGTTCCCTTTCCCCAAAGGTTAAGGAATCAAAAGGAAGAACTGCAATTTAAGAAGTTTTTGGAAGTGTTTAAAGCATTGCAYATCAACATACCTCTTGTTGAAGCAATWGAGCAAATGCCCAGTTATGCCAAGTTCCTTAAAGATATTTTGAGTAAGAAGAAGAAGTTAACCGAATATGAGACTGTAGCTCTTACCGACGGATGTAGTGCGCTTCTAACCAACAAAATACCCCCTAAGCTTAAAGACCCAGGGAGTTTCACTATTCCTTGTTCTATAGGTGGAAAGAAGATTGGTAAAGGTTTGTGTGACCTAGGAGCTAGTATCAACCTTATGCCCTTGTCTGTTTTCAACACCCTAGGCATAGGAGAAGCTAGACCCACCACTGTCACCTTGCAATTGGCCAATAGAAGCATTGCTTATCCAAAAGGTAAGATTGAGGATGTCTTAGTTCAGGTTGACAAATTCATCTTTCCGGCTGACTTCATCATCCTAGATTTTGAGGCTGATAAAGATATTCCCATAATCATAGAAAGACTTTTCTTAGCCAGTGGTCGAACTTTGATTGATGTCCAAAAAGGAGAGCTAACCATGAGACTCCAAGATCAGAAAGTCACATTCAATGTCTTTAATTCCTTAAAGTACCCTGATTACTTAGAGGAATGCTCAGGAATTACTGAGATTGAGACAATGTGTTATGAGGAAGGAGTTAGGAAGGCCTGTAAGCTAGAGGATGAGGATAGTGTTGAGATAAGTGATGATATTGTTGAGGATTTAGAAGGTGATGTCCCATCTGATGCTGCAGCATTTGAGTTCTTGGACAATAGTGAGCTTAAGAATTTTACCCCGTCTATAATTTCACCACCTGATTTGGAGTTAAAGCAACTCCCATCTCACTTGAAGTATGTATATCTAGGAGAGGAAGGTAAATTACCTGTCATCATATCATCTACCCTAGATTTACATCAAGAAAAAAAGCTTATAGATATGTTGAAGTTGCACACCAAAGCCATAGGATGGACCATTGCTGACCTAAAGGGGATTAGTCCTTCTATATGTCAACATAAGATCATCCTAGATGAAAAGAACTTCAAATCTATAGAGCCTCAAAGGAGATTGAACCCCGTCATGAAAGAAGTAGTGAAGAAGGAAATTTTGAAATGGCTAGATGCAACAATAATTTTTCCAATAGCTGGTAGTTCCTTGGTTAGTCCAATCCAGTGTGTCCCAAAGAAGGGAGGGTTTACTGTTGTCACCAATAACAAAAATGAACTCATCCCCATAAGAATAGTGTCTAGTTGGAGGATATGTATTGACTACCGTAGGCTAAACAAAGCCACTCAAAAGGACCATTTTCCCTTGCCTTTTATTGATCAGATGTTAGACAGGTTGGCTGGAAAAGAGTGTAACTGCTTTTTGGATGGATACTTCGGATATAACCAAATAGCCATATCACCCGAGGATCAAGAAAAGACCACTTTCACATGTCCCTATGGTACTTTTGCTTTTAGGAGAATGCCATTTGGACTTTGCAATGCTCCTACAACTTTTCAAAGATGCATGATGTCCAAATTCTTTGACATGCTTGAAAAATCCATAGAAATCTTTATGGATGATTTTGCGGTTTATGGCTTATCTTTTGATAATTGTTTGGAAAATCTACAAAGGAGTCTTGAAAGATGTGAAGAGACTGATCTGGTTCTCAATTGGGAAAAGTGTCATTTCATGGTCAAAGAAGGAATTGTTTTAGGCCATTTGATTTCCAAAAGAGGAGTTGAGGTAGACAAAGCTAAACGTGAAATCATTGAAAAACTACCTGAACTAACTACTGTCAAGGGAATACGAAGTTTTCTTAGTCATGCTGGGTTTTACCGAAGGTTTATAAAAGACTTTTCAAAAATCTCTAAACCTTTGTGTTTACTTTTGCAACATGATCAGAAATTTGATTTTACGGTTGAATGTAGAAATGCATTCAACACTTTAAAGAAAGCTTTAGTAACCGCACCGGTAGTTGTTGCTCCTAACTGGAACAAACCCTTTGAGATCATGTGTGATGCCAGTGATTGGGCTGTTGGAGCTGTCTTAGGCCAAAGAAAGGAAAAAGTTTTTTATTCAATCTATTATGCAAGTAAGACCTTGAATGAAGCACAACTTAACTACACAACAATTGAAAAAGAGCTTTTAGCTGTGGATTTTGCTTTTGAAATATACAGATCATATTTGATTGGAACAAAGGTCATTGTTCACACTGACCATGCTGCCATCAAGTACTTGATTTCAAAAAAAGATGCTAAACCTAGGTTAATAAGATGGGTTTTGTTGTTACAAGAGTTTGACCTTGAGATAGTTGATAGGAAATGAGTAGACAACCAAGTTGCAGATCATTTGTCAAGATTAAAGAAGCCTAGGGAGACCCTTGAAGAAGGAGAGATTGTTGAAACATTCCCGATGAGAGAATTCTAGTGTTAGAATCAAAGCTACCATGGTTTGCCAACATAGAAAACTTTTTGGCTTGTGGAATTAGACCTTCTGATATTTATGGCCATATGTTCAAAAAGTTTCTCCATGATACTAAAACTTACTTTTGGGATGACCCTTACTTGTTTAAGATAAGTGCAGATCAAATCTTGAGAAGGTGCATCCCTGAAACTGAAGTGGCAGCAATCCTGCAGCATTGCCACCAAGCAGCATATGGAGGACACTTTGGAGGCCAAAGAACAGCTGCTAAAGTATTACAATCTGGATTTTATTAGCCTACTCTCTTCAAAGATGCCACAATTTTGCACAAAGATGCAATGAGTGTCAAAGAAGTGGATCCATTTCCAAAAGGAATGAAATGCCACTTAATGGGATCTTAGAAGTAGAGTTGTTTGATGTATGGGGGATAGATTTCATGGGACCATTTCCCCTATCAAATCATTGTCAATACATTCTAGTGGCTGTTGATTATATGTCTAAATGGGTAGAGGCCATGGCTTGTGTTACTAATGATGCAAAAACTGTGATTAAATTTCTTCAAAAATAGACTTTTACAAAGTTTGGTACCCCAAGGCACTAATTAGTGATGAGGGTACCCACTTTGTAAATAACCTGTTAAGTGGAATTTTTGAAAAGTATAACATTAACCATAGAATAACAAATGCCTACCACCCACAAACCAATGGATTAGCCGAACTCTCAAACCGTGAAATAAAAGGAATTTTAGAAAAGTTTGTCAAGCCAAACCGAAAGGATTGGGCTTTCATATTAGATGACGCTTTATGGGCATACCAGACTGCTTTTTAAACACCTATCGGTATGTCCCCATATAAGCTTGTTTTTTGTAAGGCTTGTCACCTACCTTTGGAACTAGAACACAAGGCATATTGGGCCATCAAGATATTAAATATGTGCCCAGACTTGGCTGCCAGTAAAAGAAAAGTCCAGTTGTGTGAATTAGAGGAACATAGGAATCTGTCCTATGAAAATGCCAAGATTTATAAAGATAAAACAAAAAAATGGCATGATAAAAGAATTCGACACTGGGAGTTAAGAGCTTGTCAGAAAGCTTTTTGTTTAACTCTAGGTTGAAACTGTTCCTGGGAAAGTTCAAGTCCCGTTGGTCTGGACCTTTCCTCATTCATAAAGTTTATCCGTATGGAGCAGTTGACCTAATCAATCCCTTTGTGTTCAAAGTTAACGGTCAAAGAGTGAAGTTATTTCATGATCCGGTAGAAATTCCAGAGTTATGCTCTGTGAATTTTGTTACCCTTTGCTAAAAGCCTCGATATTTTTGGACTTTTTATAAAAATGTTTGTATGTAGATATTTATGTTTGCTTTAAATTCTATTTTTATAGTTATTAATAATACTGTCGTTAATTGTCATGTGTTTTGCAGTCCAGTCAGTCATCAAGAAAAGTCTGAGGTCTTGCTACAGTATTTGGAAACCCTAGCCTTTAATGGAGAATCTTGGAAAAATTTTGAAGTCTGAAAATT